ATGTCAGTCTTGAGGGTAATACCTGCTGATATAGTATCTTTGGAAAATCCCTCCTAGGCCACATCATGCTATAAATTATTTTGCCATCTGGCCAGGCAAGAATAACACATGGACGATACAGCATTGTAGTATTTTATGAAGAAATGTGTAATAATTACCTAGGTGCTGTGGCTTTTTTCCTTTTCTGGAATAAATAGGCTCGTGTGAATAGACTCACGTTAGTTAATGGGGTTGCCTGTAGCTAAATCACCCACTAGTTTTTGAGGCTTCTCAATGGAAAATTAATAGAAATTGATTCCCTTAATCTGTCAATGTGTGTGATACTGTCATTTTAAAATCAATCTCTAAGCTGAAGACAAATAGAAAGATCTTGCTAACCAATTATTTTTTTATGGATTGTCACACTTGGGGATTTACCTATCAGGGAGAGAAGAGAGAACCGTGTTGGGTTTAGACAGGAGATTACAAAGGTGAGCCTGAGGCGTGGTGGTTTGGAGACGTGCAGCCTCTCCTCCTCCCTGTAAACAAAGCCTGCCATCTCAGTCAGCCCACTGCGTGCACTTAAACAGTGGTAGCGCACAGTGGGGATTCAGAATACTAGCCCGTGCTGTTGTTTCGTGATTCCAGTTTCTTAGAGTTACTCTCCAACAGAAAACGTCGACTTTCCCTAGCCCCATGCTTTTCCCTGCTTGCTCCATTTTACTGAGTCTTGGCATAAACAGTTTTATTGCTGCTTGTTGAAGGAAGGTTAATCTAATACCTGCATTTCTGTTTTGAGTACACAATTTAGGATCTGATGGACCGTAAAGTAAAATTGATGAAACATTTTCTTAGAATATTTTGTTGTCAGAACTGTTTATTCAGATTTACCGATACGAGTTGACTTTGCTGGGACTCTTAGGCATGCTGTTGATAATAACTATATTGGATCAGATATAGAGAAATATGATGAGAAAAGTCTGGAAAATAGAAAATGTCCATGTTTACAAAGAAGGATGTACACAGCAGGAATAGTAAGGAAGCTTTGAAAGAGGTTTTGTGGAAGGAGGAATGGAGCAGTACCAGTAGCGTGTCGTGTCTGTGTTCTCGAGCACGAGGACTGTTTCATCATCTGCGAAGGTCGCTAGGGATCCCTGGATGGTGCAGTCACCATGCCTGGCTGCTACCCCAAGGGTGGGGATTGCAGTCCACCAGGAGGTTCTGCAGAGGAAAGGCCTGGTGATCTGCTTTCAGAAACTCAGTCATTGAAAACCCTACAGGACCACAGTTCTGCTCTGATGCACACAGGGTCCCCGTGAGTCAGCGTCAGCCTGGTGGTAGCTGGTTGTAAGATCATTAGTTCTGTGTGACAATTTAGAAGGTACTAAAATTTGTCTTTTTTTGTTCCTTGTGTTTAAAGAAGCTTATTTTAATTCTGTTAATGGAAAGCACTGATGGGACTTCAGAGAGCCAGCAAAGCCTTGACGTTCTTTTTCTCTTATGCTCAGGTATGTTTTAATTGCTATGGAGGCATTGGATCAGCTTCTCATGGCTTGTCATTCTCAGAGCATCAAGCCATTTGTGGAGAGCTTTCTTCATATGGTAGCAAAGCTGCTGGAATCAGGGGAACCAAAGCTACAAGTACTTGGAACCAATTCTGTGAGTAAGACCATTTTCTTACGAGGTAAAAGTTTAATTAGCGTAAACAAACAAAAATTCACTGCTGTGGAGTTGATTCCGACTCATAGCGACCCCTCCTTGGGTTTCCAAGGGAACATCTCCATGGAAGTAGGTTGCCCAATCTTCTTTCCAAGGAGTGGCTGGTGGGTTTGAACCGCCAGCCTTCTGGTTAGCAGTTAATGTGTAAGGCACTACGCCACCAGTGTAACTAGTATAACTAGTGTTAATTCTCTTCTCAGAATGTCTTCACATTTTTCAGGAAGTTTCCTATAAATCTCACATTCACAAGGAATCCTTTAATGTTTTGAATTATTTATTTTATACATTAGAAAATTGGGAGCAGACTATGTAGGGCGTTTCTAGGTGGAGCGTATGGTTAACACACTCGGCTGCTAACTGAGAAGGTGGAGGTGCAAGTATCCCAGAGGTGCCTTGGAAGAAAGGCCTGGTGTTTGCCTCCAAAAAGCCAGCCGTTGAAAGCCCTAAGGAGCACATGAGACATCAAAGGGCACCAGGGAGTCACAGTTGACTGGATGGCAGCTATTTTGCTGGTCATTGTGCACAGAGCTTTTGTGCAGTTTTTTCATTTATGTTTTTGGAGCATATTCCCATGTCATTCAGTGTTTCTTTTTAGGAAAAGTGTGAGCAGTTGGTTTAATCCTCTGAGAATCTCTCCGTATGGTCAGTGTGTGTAGCTCAGGAACTTTGAAAATGGAGAGGCAGGGCCTTGGGCTGTAATGCCAGTTTCACCACTTGGAAGCTGTGTTACTTTGGCCGCATGACTTAGCTTCTGACCTTCTGTGTTCCTGTCGTAACATGGGACGGTGGCATGTCATGACTCGTGGCACAGATGAGGTAGTTGAATCTGAACCAGGATGGTGTGGCTCCTCTCTGACACCCGTGAGCATGTAAAACATAATGTAAAGCAGATGCCTTAGCTTTATCTCACTTCCAGATACCGTTGTGTCAGTATTTCATTTGTTCAAGTTTATTCTTCCCTGATTCCTGCTGTAGAGAAAATTTGACTTTACCTTTGAAAAGCCATCAGTCTGCTGTATCCTGACAGGTGTGTCTACATATAGATACTGACATTTCTAGTAAGTAAGTTAACAGCTTGTTTTAGTCTATTTTGTATCATCAATCATAAGATGAGTAAGAAATAAGAAAAAGAAAACTAGTGAGGAAAGAAACTGTCCATTGAGGACTCTCAGGGCCAGCTTTGTACCACACGTAGGATCTTTCAGATTAAAACTGTGCTTTAAGGACCCTCAGGCCCAGCCTGGTGCCACACGTTGTTGTTAGGTGCTGTCAGATCAGGTCGTTCAGTCTCCTGGACGCGTGGCCGGCTCTGGCTCTCGCTCCCCCACGCTCGCTTTCTCGCTCTCGCACGTGCTCTCACGCTTGCTTTCGTGTTGCTCCTTCCCTCCCTCTCTCTGTCTCTAATCATTGGAAAGGATACAGGATAAATTGTAGCATCTCATTATTTTTCTTTTCTGTTGAATTCTTATCATGTTCCCTTGAGTTTCTGCCCATCTCGCGTGTCCCATCTTACCGCGTAAATGTTATTCATTCATGGGCTATATAGCGGGTGTCAGAGATTTCTTTCCCACGATTAGGAATCGAGTTCCCTAGAGGTTGAGGCCGCTGTGAGGTGCCACGGAGCCATTATCAGCCCGTAGGGATGTGGATGGCTGCAGGGTAGACTTCCTTCTGGAGCAGGTGCCCCATCAGGACCTCGACTCAGAAGTTACAGTTACTGTTGTTAAAGCTTTATCCTTGATTGCTGAAAGGTCATTACTGAAATGTCTGTGTGTGGTAACTGTATTTCACTTGCTTCTCACTTGGATAAACCAAAAGCCAAACTTACTGCCGTTGAGTTGATTCCAACCCAGAGTGACCCCCACTGAGTTTCCAAGGCTGTAAATCTTTATGGAAGGAGACTGCCTCATCCTTCTTCTGCAGAGTGGCTAGTGGATATGAACCACTGACTTTTTGGTTAGCAGCCAAATGCCTTACCCACTATGCCACCAGAGCTCCTTTCTTATTTGGATATTTATTGTTAATTTAGCAGGTAAGTCATGCAAAGCAATGTGCTTGTTCCATATTTTTGAAAAGGTGGTGAAACATTGATGTTGCTGTTTTTGTTTTTAGTTTGTCAAATTTGCGAATATCGAGGAAGACACACCTTCATACCACAGGCGTTACGACTTTTTTGTGTCTCGGTTCAGTGCTATGTGTCACTCCTGCCACAGTGATCCAGAGACACGAACAGAGTATGTATTGTTATTCTTACTGGTTTACTGTCAGAGAGTACTGCTGAATACTGTGCTTACATGTACTATGTAATTATTGCCAAGGGAAATGGGAAAACACACATTTTATTCCTAAAACATGACTTTCCTTTATTCTTACAAGTTAATAACAGCTGACCAGAGTGACAAAGTCCAGGGTGGTTTCCCAGTTCACTCAGCTTAAAATAAGTCTCTGCTGTGGCCTGGAATGCTCCTCCTGCCTGACTGCCAGCCCTGCCGTCCGCTGCTCCCCAATCCATTCACTTGGACCCCATGCTCCTCCTGCCTGACTGCCAGCCCTGCTCACTCCTTTCACATGGACCCTGTGTTCTGTTCCTTGAACACTAAGATGCTGTCCTCCTCCAAGGCTGTGGACTCACTGTTCTCTCTGCCTGGAACAGTCTCCAGATATCAGCATGGCTTAGCACCTCCCTTGTTCAGATTTCTGTTCAGATGAAACCTTTCAAGAGAATCTTCCTTTGGGCATTTATTGGATACCTGCCTGATTGGCTCCTTCTGTCCCCAGTGACCCCTTGTCTCTTATCACATCTGTGTCCCCGAGGCACTTGTCCAGAGAGATCCGTGAGTCTGTTCCTCTGTGGAGCTGGAGCTCCCGAGGAACAGGGCTCTGTCTACTGTTTTCTTAGCATGTTGAGGAGCATCTGGCACATACTGGGCCTTTGTGCGTATGTTTGGAATGAATACAGATGAGTTGAGTGAATGGATGTGCGTTAATGAATTGAGTCACTGTCACTCTGAGGTGGTCATGACACATGATTAGGGCATTTTAAAGCATTTTGTGTGGATGTCTCCTTGTAATCTACAACCAAATACTTACCTGCAACTGTCACTACGGGTTGATACCTGTGTAGAAATGAGGAACTTTAAAGAAGTAAAGGCAAAATGGCCTTGGTACCTGAGAAGGTGGTTTGAGATGAGCATAGAACGACCCAACCCTGGGGACTCGGACGTGTGGGCACTTCATAGTTAGATTCACTATGTTTTGTCATTTTTATTTTACAATAACGGAATGAGGAGAAGTGGAACACAGATTTTACGTGGATTGTAGTTGATCTGGACAAAAGACAACAAGCGTAGAAGTTATTTTAACTTGAAGAAAACTGAGAGGTGATTAACTGTCATTCTCAGATGCCAGATTGAGTTTCTGTGTCAGATGCTGTGAGTGTATTTCTTCCTCAACATGAGGCAGAATAGTAGAGCTGCTTCAGAGTCTTTTATTATGAGGTAGAAGGCCTCAGAGGTCAACATGTCTAGTTACCATATAATGATTAATTTCTCGTATCTCCCAGTTACCATTACAGTCTTCTTTTCCTCCTTAAAGGGTATTGGTAAATGTTCTTTCAAATCGTTCCATGTTCTCAAATGATGGTAAGCCATCAGCAGGACAAAGAGATACAAATAAGATTGTTGTTGTTGTGTGCCGTCGAGTCAGACCCAACTCACAGCGACCCCTCCTTGGGTTTCCGAGGCAGTATCACTACGGAAGTAGATTGCCCAACCTTCCTTCCGAGGAGTGGCTGGTGGGTTTGAACCGCCAGCCTTCTGGTTAGCAGTCAAGTGCCTTAGCCACTATGCTACCAGAACTCCTACGAATAAGATTAGTACAGAGCAAAGGAAATGGCAGTGTGTCCTCAGATGTTAACATTTTTGTTTTCTTGAAAATACAGAAAATTATTCAGAATGTAGTTTGCTTTTCTGTTTACTCTTATCAGGCCTAACAGATTAAACAGTTTCTAGATCCTGGTTAAAATGAGTTTCGCGTGTAAACCAGTGTAGGTGCAAGTGTCTGTGATCTCCGCAGGTTATGAAAAGATGCGTTTCAGACACTCAGCCTTGTCCCAGGCAGCTTGATTTTAGGTGTGGAGCTCCCCCTAGTGAAGTGTATTGTTCAACTTATTTTCATTTAATGTTTTTCACTGTTTAAGCAAGGGGTTTTAGTACTTAGACCAAACTGAAGGACTTTCCATTATGATAGTTGAAATTTTAAAATGCCAACTTCCCATATGAAACAGATAAATAAACCAGAGTGCTTCTGGATGCTTACAGGGTTTGATTTTCATTTTTCTTCCTTTGCCTAAAATAACTTATATTTATATTCCCTTTTAGGTTTTAACTTTGAGGCTTATTGTCAGTCCTTTTATCAGTCCGTGGGGAGTTGGGGGTGGTGGGAGACAAGGATAACTGTCAAGGTTTCCTTAAAACGTCTGCATTGCAGATGCTGGGCCCCATTTGTATGGCGTGCACCTTGGTCTCACGCTAAGATCCCACAGCTCTGGTGGAAGTGGTCACTGTCACCCTTGTCCTGATCCTCACCGTGACTGGCAGCCACAGCAGGAGCAGCGGGTGCTTGTTCAGTTCTCCTTGTGTGCTCCTTGTTGCCTCAGCACTTTGCCGGAATTAACTCATTCAAGTCCCAGACACTCCCTGTGCTGCAGGCCCTGCAGTTGTCCTGGGTACTGATGGGGAAATTGCTTTGGAGCGCGCAGCTGGCTGTGCTGCTTCAGCCAGACCCAGTCTGGACAGGACCCCAGCTGTAGAGCTGGGCTAGCGATCAACAGTCCTTGCCTCCCTACCTGGGCGTCAGCACCTGCCGCTGCTTCATTCAGGCTCCTGTGTCGCAAGGTGTGAGCTGCCCCTTTGTGGCATTTTGTGTGGCTGTATGTTCTGTACCATCTTGTGTTAGACTCCAAGGGTGCAACAGAGAAGCAGGCCAAGCCTTTGTTAGAAGTCTTGGCCTTCACCTCCCCAAGGAGCAGAGGTTTATAAAGCAGACACCTTTTGTCGTACAGCTGGGTTTGCCCATGTGCAGTAGGTGTATGGGCGCCTCTCAAGCCCTTGTTTACGCTTTAGAAAGCAGGGTGTATAGATGTTTCAAAGTTGATAAAATGTGTCTTTCAGACTCCACTTTCCTCTCCTCCCTGGTCCGGTGTCATGTCACTGCCACGTGTCATTCCCCACTCGCTGCCCCAAACGCCTGCACTAGTTGCCCACGGCTTTGTTAAGCAGTAGCACCTTCCTCCTCGTGTCTTTCATTCTTTTCGTCCAGTTAAAGTTTTTGGAAGATGATGCTTGGTAAGCTGCATAATCCTCAAATTGGTCAATGTTTCAGGTATTAGGGAAAAAAAAAAGAAGTAGAAAACAATGAAATTTGGCCCAAGGGACAAACAGGGTAATTGGACCATAGGTCAGCTCTGTTTCAGAAGTTCTTGCCCAGCTTCTGTAAGCTGGTTTCATGTCTCGTCTTCCCAATCTTAAGCTGACAGATGATGTTGAAGAAGAGCGAGAAATTGCTTGAGGAAGTCTGAGCTCTGGGTTAGGTGGGAGGCCTGAGCACCGTTCTGTCTCTGTCACACATGTATGTGACTCAGAGCGTCTTGACTCCATTTTCATGGTTCTCATTGGTTGTCCCTTCAAAGACCCACACTTCCAGTTTTGCATCTTGGTGGACTGAGGGAGGTGCGGTGCAAGGGAAGCCTGAGAAGTGTTTGGGGTGTCAGGGCCCGTGGAGACTGTGTTCCCTGAGCTGCTGAGGCTTTCCCACGAGCAGTGGAGAGGAAGGAGCTCACAATTGTTTGAGTTGTCATCATCCTTCAGGGAGACAGACCTAACAAAAGCCAGAGTACTTTTGATTAAATTATTTTTGCTGAAAATTAATTCCCAGACTAAGTATTTCTAGATCTCTGTATTTCCTGATCTTCTTCAACTTTGAATCTTGATTTTTCAAAGATGCTGTTGAAAATGAGCCTCTTTTAGAAGTGCTGTGTCTTTGTGTCCCTCTCAGATCTTTGGGATTTTAATTTCTCAGATTTGCTGCTGATTATTTTTATTCTAATAACTTGAGATGACAACAGTTGCTTCGTAGCCGTTCCTTCAGTGAGACAGGCAGGCTTGTTAAATAGCCTTTCTTTTATGGCTAAGGTTTTCTCTTACAGAATCCGAATTGCTGGGATAAGGGGTATTCAAGGAGTGGTTCGCAAAACGGTTAATGACGAACTTCGAGCTACCATCTGGGAGCCGCAGCATATGGACAAGATCGTGCCATCCCTGCTGTTTAACATGCAGAAGACAGAAGAGGTGGACAGGTACTGAGTGAAAGACATTAGGGCTGAGGCCACAGGGACTGTATGTTTGCGCGTGCGTGCTTGCTAGGATAAGTTTCGTCTTTAGCATTATATGAATAGTAATTTACAGTTACGTGGCTAAAAATGTGTTCTTTCTGGAAAAATTATTGATCTTTAGTGATCCCATAGGCTTTATTTACTAAAAAAAGTACAGTCTTATTGATTTGTTTCAGAATAAATTTTATTAAAGTTTCTTAAAGCTGCAAGTCTGAGAAAGAGACAGCTGACCATTGTCATTCATTAGAGCTCTGGCCTGCTTCCTCCTGGAGAGGTAGAGCTAAGTGACTACTAGTGACAGTAGTGGTAATAATGCTGACAGTCATTCCACCAATAGCAGTGCTGATAGCTGTTCAGTATATTGTACTTCTTTTCAGAAAAACATTAGATGCCGTTCGTTTCTGATTCATTCTTTGAAGGTGTTTTGGACAGGAATATTGTTTGGGGACATAGGCTGCTTTTGTTTTCCCCATGTCATCCAGTTACACTGAGAATTCTGTACTTGCGCTATTTCAAGTCCCGTGACATGCTCCCTCTACTCTCCTGTTGCCACACACGGTAGTGATGTGTGATGGCCTCTTGAGAATCAGGCCTTCCTGATTCTTCCAGTGTGAAGAGGAAATCAGAGTCAAATTTGAAAGATTGTGTAGTTCTGAAATTTAAAATTTCCTGATAATTTTGATGATTACATGTGCAATTTCAAAGTAAAGTGGTCTAGAAGAAGTAAAAATTAAAATAAGACTAACTCTGTGGAGCGCTTACATGTTCTTCTAAGTTTATATGCTAATTTAGGGAAAGCCATGTTGAATTCCTTAGATGTGACTGTTTACCAAAGACTTCTGTGTATACTTCTTTTCTAATTCCAAACCAAGACCCAAACTCACTGCCATCAAGTTGATTCTGATTCATAGCAACTGCCTTTGGGTTTCCAAGGTAGTAAATCTTTACAGAAGTAGATTGCCCAGTCTTCCTTCTGCAGAGTGGCTGGTGGGTTTGAACCGCCAACCTTCTGGTTAGCAGTCATATGCCTTAGGCATTTACACCACCACAGGTCCTTGCTTTTCTAATTAGCTTTTGAAATTTATTTTTTATTCACAGGCTGTATCATATGGTTTTCACTTAAATTTTTTTTGCCTACCTTCAGTTAAACAAAGGAGCTCTGGTGTGCAGTGGTTAAAGCATTTCGGCTCCTAACCAAAAGGTCATCGGTTTGAATCCACCAGCCACTCAGCAGAAGAATGAGGCAGTCTGCTTCTGTAAAGAGTGCAGCCTTGGAAACCCTATTAGTTCTACTCTGCCCTGCAGGGTTGTGATGAGTTGCGGTCACCTCCATGACAGTGGAGTTGTTCGTTTGTTTGTTTGTTTGTTTACAGTTGATTGTTGTTCTTACTACACTTTAGCTTTAGACCTAGAGAAGGGGGAAAGGAGCAGAAGAACACGCAGCCAAAGTTCTCTGCTGACCTAGAGGACGCACAATTGAACTTGGTTCTCCCTATTTGAAAGGTGATAGGATTAGCTTCAGTGGTGTTAAAGTCATAAAGGGAGAATGAAGGTTAAAAGTTATTTCAGGATAAAAGGGCATGCCGTTAGTATTTCTGAAAAGCAGTAGCTGTTCTCTTTAACTGTTGGAACCAGTTTTAGGGTGTTTATATTAGCTTTTGTTCTCTCTTTCTTTTCTTCCAGTCGAATAGGCCCGCCTTCCTCTCCTTCCGCAGCCGACAAGGAGGAGAACCCTGCTGTGCTGGCGGAGAATTGTTTCCGAGAATTACTGGGCCGAGCAACTTTTGGGAATATGAATAATGCCGTTAGGCCCGTGTTTGCGTGAGTCGTTGGGCCTTTACCTGTGGCTGGCAGTGTTGGCTGTATGTTCATTTACTTACAGGGGACACACCGTCTTCCGCCTGTGTGAGGAGGCCATTGATGGAACCAGTGTGATGTGTGAGAGCAGTGCAGGACTCAGATGTCACATATCTGAGTACTGGTTCAGCTGCTTAACTAGCTTTTTCCTCCTTAAAGGTGAAATATATAGTGTATGTAATAGCCTATGTGTTATTTAATGTGAATTTCCACTTACAAACTTTAAATTGAGTGTGTGTACCGAGACATGGAAAAAGCCTCTCAGTCTGATGAGCTCTGCTTGTCTCACTAATGTCTGTCGTCGGTGCCTCCTGTTCCTGGCTTCTGCTCTCTGGCTTTCCTTTTCCTGTTTGCTATTCACTTCTCTGAATAAATTTCACTTTATACCCAGTGACTAATCAGAGCAGGGATAGTTTGTACCTCATCGGTGTTTATCTTCCACACCCTCTGGGCAGAATCTGTTTGAGCTTTGAGTCTTTCCACACAGACGTAAATCTCAACCCTTTTGTTGAGCCTTTATTTCTAACTCAGTCATCATGTGATAGACCTAATATTTAACATTCTGCATAATTTCTGTGGATTTTTAATAGTCTTTCTTTTGTTAGTCATGTGCCTTGTTTTTTCTATTCCTAACTGTGTGTGTTGTGTTGTTAGGTGCTGTCGAGTTGGCTCTGACTCATAGCGACCCCATGTACAATAGAACGAAACCCTGCCCGGTCTGCCTGACTGTATAGCGTGTTTAGAGCAGTCCACGTGGAACATGCAGAATGCTTTATTTAGGGTAGATGTTCTCTGCAAGGGATTCAAGGTTGAGCTTTGTCTACAGTCCTCAAAATTATGTGAGAAATCTGAGAAGTTTGTGATCCAAAAACATTGAGCTCTTCTGCTTAAAGACTGTGGGCTCATGAGAATGCCCTCGGAAATGACCAGAATCAAGTCAGATCTAAGTAAAAGTGTATTTCCATGTTAATGTCCAGATAGGTAGTCTAGTCTCAGATTACACATTTGATTTTAATACATGTTCTAACTACAGAGGTCTCAACGATCTAGACAGCTGGCCTCTTGTGGAATTGCACGGAGGGACTCTTCTTTCTTGTGAGCTCTGACTTGTATTTAAACATGTTACTAGTGGCATGTGTTATACCAGGGTTTGGCAGTTGTGGGAAATACACTTGATCTCATTGTTCATGGATTCCATGTTTGCCAATTCAGCTACTCACTGAAATTGACTTGTGACCCCCAGATCAACACCTGCAGCACTTTCACGGTCATTTGTGAATATATGCAGCGGGGCAAGAAATTTGAGTCACATGATATACACGTTCCCAGTTGAGGTCAGCCACGGGACACTCTGCCTTCTTGTTGCATCTCATACTGTGAACAGGTGTCTTTCTCATGTTCTGTTTCTGGCACGTTCTCTGCACTTTTTGTTGGTGATTTCGCTATTTGAAACGGCCCCCAATTAATTGTAGTGTGAAGTACTCTTTAGTGCTCCTGAGCTCAAGAAGGCTGTGATGTGCTTCACAGGGAGAATACGTGTCTTGGATAAACTTACTTCAGACGTGAGTTACAGGGCTGTTGGCTGTGAGTTCACTGTTAATGAATCAGCAATATATAAAATAGAATGTCTGTAAACAGAAATGCTCTTAAAACAAGGCTGTGTATTAATTGGTTGATGAAAATGTGTCCAGAAGCTTGTGGGAACCTAACCTTTTCTTTCCCTTGGGGGAATGTCAGTATTCACTAAGTCAGTGTTTGTGGTGACTTTATACAACATCACTCCCTCCAACAACAGAAACCAGCCATATGTATCATATTTGTAGAAATGTAAATCTTGGCTTTCTTTTAGTTAGTATCCTTTTGACTGTTACACTTTGCATATTGTTGAGAGTTCTAGAGGAAAAACACTAAATAAAAATAGGTAGCTCTCAAAGTCATTTTTTATTGTTGTTTGCAGGCATTTAGACCATCACAAACTGTGGGATCCCAATGAATTTGCAGTGCATTGCTTCAAAGTTATAATGTATTCCATTCAGGTATGGCTCGGCTACCTGTTCTTTATCTTATATACGTGATGTGGGTGTATATAGCTGGCAGATCATCCCACAGATGGGACACTGTTGGGTATAAAAGCATGTTCACCATTTAACTCTGTTGTGTTGTTTCTTTTCTTTACCATTTATTTTCTTATTTGCCAAGATGAAAAGAAGAATAAAACGAAGTATTTTATGATGGTGCTCTTTACTGAGCTGCTGTATTTCACTGACAAACTCATGTTGGAATTCATATGTGTTTATAGGGGAGCTCTGGTAGCATAGTGTCTAAGGCACTTGACTGCTAACCAGAAGGCTGGTGGTTCAAACCCACCAGCCACTCCTCAGAAGGAAGATGGGGCAATCTACTTCCATAGTGATACTGCCTCGGAAACCCAAGGAGGGGTTGTTATGAGTCAGGTCCGACTCAACGGCACATAGCAATAACAACAACATGTGTTTATAGAAGCGTATAGCTGACATGTCATTGAGTATGTACCATGTGATTGGGTGTTCATGGAACCTAATGATAAAAATACTCTTACCTACTGCCAAGGACCACCTTGGGTTTTTTGTTTTTTTTTTCCCCAAGAGCTCAACAGACCCAGTTAGCTCTTCATTTCAGTGGAATCCAGGTCTCTTTTACACCATCTATATTGTTAATGCCCTGAAAAACTCATCTTGATTTTAAAAGAGGTAAGGTAGAAAGAAGCAGCACAGATGTTGGTATAGGCAGCACTAAGATTTGCATCCCAGATGTGCTGTTTACTAGTTGTATGATCTTGGGCAAGTTCATGTATGTTAAAATTGTATATTAAAATACCATTGTGTATATAATGCCATAAAAGTGCAAAACCAAACTCACTGCCATTGAGTTGATTTGACTCATAGCGACTCCTCCTTGGGTTTCCAAAGTGATATGTCTATGGAAGTAGGTTGCCCAGTCTTCCTTCTGAAGAGTGGCTGGTGGGTTTGAACTGCCAGTCTTCTGGTTAGCAGTCAAATGCCTTAGGCAAGTGCACCACCAGCGCTCCCATATGATATTCATAAATGTGTGTGTGTGTTTTATATACATATATAAATAATATTCATATATGTTGCTGTTATGTGCCGTTGAGTTGGACCCGACTCATAGTGATGACAACAATTTTTACCAAGGCAGACTGCCTCATCTTTCTGCTGAGGAACAGCTGGTAGGTTTGAACCACTGACTTTTTGGTTAGCAGTCAAATGCCTTAACCACTGCCCCACAAGAGTTTGTTGTTATATGTACTGTTCTGTATATAATTCCTGTCAATTAATTAAGAACCAGCTATGTCTTGTTCTTGTTGTTACGTGCCATCGAGTCGGACCTAACTCATGGCGACCCCTTCTTGGATTTCTGAGGCAGTATCACTGCTGAAGTAGATTGCCCAACCTTCCTTCCCAGGAGTGGCTGGTAGGTTTGAGCCACCAGCCCTCTGGTTAGCATTCAAGTGCTTTAGGTACTATGCTGCCAGAGCTCCTAGCTCTGTCTTATGACTGTGCTAATTACATTACGTGCTTTATCTCATTTAGTCCTTCTAAGCCTGTGAGGTAGATATTATTATCACCATTTTACAAGTAAGAAAACTGACCTTTAGAGAGGTTAAGTGACTTGCTTAAGAGCACAGGGGTATACCATCCTGAACATTAGGCCATGGGGGCTGTCTGTAGGTAGAGCCAGGGCCACCAGCAGGTTCTTTTTACAGTGTGGTGCAGGGTGGTAGACCCACTCCTGACTCGTGGGTATGTATGTAGGTTAAAAAGCCTTGCTACTCTGTTTAAAAATAAATAAGTCAATGACTGTTCGTTGGAGTTTGAATAAGCATTCATCTAGCTGTGCCTTTTTATTTAAGGCCTGCTGTCATGCACTAGGATTGACTAAATTCATTTTTATATGTGATAGAATTGCCTTTGTAAATTGCAAGTCTTCTGATACTTTCTTGATACAAACATCAGGTAGGTCCACTGTCAGGTCCTTGTTGATGAGGTGTTCTTTGGTAGTAGCTCTCTAATGAGATGAGTTTTGACCATCTAGCATTGTTAGGGGCCCACCCTAAGAAATAGTACTTATTTCTTAGGAAGGAAGAAGTGCTGGAAATGTCATAATCTATTTCTTTTTTAACATCATTTTGTCCTGTTATCAAATTACAACAGTGTATAAATGTTTATTGTCAAGAATTAGAAATTACAGAGAAATAGAAAGAGGATAAAAATTGCTCATAAGTCCCCTGAGAGGTAAACAGTATTAATGTGTATATGTGGTTCTTAGATAATGTTTACAAACCAGCTTGAACGTCATTGAACATAGTATTTTGCAGCTGGTTCTTCTCATTCCAGCCATCATAAATATCTCCTAGTGTCCCTATTTATTTCTCAAAAGCATGCTGGTTATTGGCTGCATAGCATCCCAAAACATGAACACACCTCTTTAGCCAGTGCCCTGTACCTGAACATGTCGGTGTCCCTCTTTTCCATTCTTAGGACCACCGCCACAATGAATGGATTCGCTCACAGTTGTGTGCTACTCTGTTCCCTTTAGGCTCAGTATTCTCACCATGTGATCCAGGAGATCCTAGGCCACCTCGATGCTCGTAAGAAAGACGCTCCACGGGTTCGAGCGGGCATCATCCAGGTCCTGTTGGAGGCTGTCGCCATTGCTGCGAAAGGCTCCATTGGTGAGTACCAGTGTGGCTGGTTCAGCAGAGGAACAGCAGTCCCTGGACACCCGCCTCTGGGAATACTGCCACGTAGTTCTTAATGTGGTGTAAGTTCTCCTGAAGTTTTAGTTTCATGTGCTTGTTCTCAGACATCTTTAATGCCTGGGTCAGCATTTTCCTTCACTTCCCCACTTCCCCTTAACTTCCTCCTTTTCCTTTAATAAAGGTTTTGTATGCAGTTATGTGCTAAACATTGAGGAGGATACAGATATAAGAAACATTGCTTACTTGGGGTTAGACGTTTGCATCTAATACTGTAGTACAAGGCAGAATTTGATCACATCAGGCCAGGGTTCGGAGTGGGGAGGGAAGAGGAGTTAGTGTGAGCAAATAATTATGTAGTCCATTTTGACTGGAACGTGTGGTGGTCATCCATGTTGATGTCAGAGAAGTGGCTTTACATTGCACCAGACTGAACATACTTCTAGTTGACTGGCAATCTTTAAAGATTTCCTCTCATCTTCTTCAAAGGAGCCCTGGTGGTGAAATGGTTAAGCATTCAGCTGCTAATGGAAAGGCTGGTGGTTCAGATCCACTCAGAAGTTTCATGGGAAAAAAGACCTGGAAGTCTGTTCCCATAAAGACTACACCGAGGACACCACATGGGGCAGTTCCACTCTGTCACATGGAGGTGCTGTGAATTGAAAATCAACTCGATGGTGCAGAGCAACAAGTCTTTCTTAGAGATATGCTACAGGAAAATTTACCTGGCAACAAAATATAAGGAGAGTTAGACCAGGTGGCTGTCATCGTCTGAGCATGATGGAAAGAACTTGACTTTGGATGGCAGCAGTGGAAATGGGAATGTAAAATCAACAGGATTTGCCAACTAACTGACTGTAGGGGAACAAAGAGAAAGGGCAGGATAGAGGTCACAGTATTTCACCTGCGTGTGATAAGAAGAAGAGACGGATCCATTATACCAAAAACTAAACCAAACCCACTGTCACTGAGTCAGTTCCGACTCATAGAGACCCCATTGGGTTTCCAAGGTGGTAAATCTTTACTGAAGTAGATTGCCTGGTCTTCCTCCACAGAGTATGTTGGGTTTGAACTGCTGACCTTCTGGTTAGCAGCCAAATGCCTTAGGCACTGTGCCACCAGAGCTCCTTGGATCCATTACAGAAACACACAGAAAGAGAATCTAGGTTCTTTCCTTCAAAATCAGAGTGGAAATCAGCTAAAAAAATTGTACTAGCTTTCTTTGGACCCATTTTATGTCTATAGATACAATACAGTGTCATTTAACTCCTTGGAAGGAAGGTTGGGCAATCTACTTCCATAGTGATACTGCCTCAGAAACCCAAGGAGCGGTTGCTGTGAGTCAGATCTGACTCAACGGCACATAACAACAACTTTGGATGTGGGCTTTTCATTATTTATCTTGTAACTTAAAGAGACAGAAGTAGCACATCATTTAATAGGAAAATTATTTAACTTGAAATGTGGGATGAAACACAGATGACATACTGAATCATCACTCTTTCTGAATATCTCTGTGTTGGGTACTCTGCTGGGATCTGTGCATTCAGAGAAGCATTTGCACATGGACACCTGTCGTGGAGGAGCTGAGAGTGGGAGGTGGAGATAAAACCCTTGATTAATATCATGTGATAGACTAATGGAAATGTGCAGAGGCTTTATGGAACCAAAAGCAGAGAGCTAGCTTCTGTCTAATAATTGAGACAAAGTCTTCCTTTTTCAGACTCAGAAGAGGCAAAATAAGTCTTCTGAGCTACAGTGAACTTCTTATCATAACTTTATGGATTCTGACCCAGTGGTCAAGTTAAATATTGAACCAGTACACATTAATTAGAACAGGCAAGATTAGATAGGTAGAAAGTTTGACAACTCTCATATGTGTGGACGGATAGGTCTGGTTTCTAGCAGAGAGTCAGACAGTGTTGTTCATGAAGCCCAGGGAGTATCGATAGGAGTCGCTGGCATAGGACCAGGCAGCATTTTGTTCTCTTAGACATAGAGTCACTGTGAGTCGGAGCCACCTGACAACAACAGTGTAGCTAGGAGACTTTCTTACTTATGTATTTCTCATTCACTTTCTGTCCTTCAAGTGGATTAATTCATAAATTATTATTTTCAGTTATTTAGAAAATACCATAAATGACTGTAAAGAAATCAGAGACTTGATTTGGGGGGCATGGTGCTGGAAACGTGTCTGCTCGCTGTCTCTTCCAGGTCCCACCGTGCTGGAAGTCTTCAACACGTTACTGAAGCACCTGCGTCTCAGTGTGGAGTTGGAAGCCAGGGACTTACAGGGAGGCTCCGTAGGCAGTGCCAACGTCAGCACAAGTTCCAAGGACAGTGATGAGAAGATCGTGCAGAATGCTATCATCCAGACGATAGGTGAGTCGGTTCCCTTGCTCCTACTAGGGTGCTTGTCAGAGGTGGATGGTAGTTAAGACTGTCCCAAGAACTTTTTACTGTGAAAATGAACAAGCATGTTTATATCAATTTGTGTGAATACACATGAAAGCAGGCAAGCTATCTTTCTGCTTTAAGCACTCCCCCATCTCTGGTCTAGAATTACCAGATCATATTTGAATGTAGCTGCATGATTGCTGTGACAATTTCAAACTCGGATTGTGTTCCTACCATGTAGCACCTAATTTCCAATGGTTACTCCTTGTTTCTTTAATAGTCCTGGAGATGGTTTATGTCTTTTGTATGTTAATTTTCCCACCAGTGGGCTACTTGTTTATAATAGGAATATTTACTACAAAGTTCTGCTTTGTCGTCTTGTTTCTAAGCTTTGATGTATGTATAGACGTGCATGCGTGCACCCCTGGTCAGCACCTGTTAATGAAGCTCTGGCAGGATGTGTGCACCTGTTACTGAAGCTATGTTAGGACGTGTTGGGACATCAGGATGCAGGGGAGACTCTGGTTGATCTGGTCAGTGCAGTACCACCAGTTCACATGTCAGGCACCTAGAAATTGTCCTCAGGAGGGCCAGGGCCCAGATGTGTTAAGTTCAACTACTTAACACATAGTAGGTGCTTAATTAAGAGAGATACTGGTATTGATTGAAAAGGCAAAATACAATAAAGATCACTATTCCCATGCATCTAAAAAAAGTGGAGACACTCACTGTTCACAACAGTAAGTTTCAGTGTGGAGTGAGCCTGACCTCTCTGGTGGCTCAAATGTATTTGGATTATTTGTGAATTTTCTGTGATGTAGCAAATCAATTTTATTTTGACATAATTAATTGCTTTAGTGACCTCCAGTTAGTTCAGTGTTACTGTTTCACTGTAGAATATTTAACATATTGATTCTCAAGCATTTGATTAGAAAATATATGCACAGCAGACTCAAGCACTGTTTCTGACACACATGTTCAGAACAACATGTGAGAATAAAACAGAAAAGCATGACAGTGTGGCGCAGCAGTTGTTTTTTTTTTTTTTTTTTTAAATCACACCTCTGAGTTCCTTCCTGATTTCCTTGAGATGTTCTCTGGATTCTGGTAGTTAGTAGAGCGTGTGGATATTCCCGCCGCTGGGCCATGGAACAAGGGCTGCTGTAGATACTGCACTTTACGCTATGAGGCCGTTGGCCAAGTCCTTCTTTTAAGAGCATGGAGATCTCTACTGTGTTGTTTCTGGGTCAGTAGTATTTCCCTTCAGCAATTCCAAATGGCACCGGGTATAAAGAGCAAGTTGCTTTCAAAGACTGTCTTCATTATTACTCGTTTGGATACTCCTGTGAAATTTTAAATAAAATAAATGTTTAAAGTATAGATTAGTTGCCTTTCTGTTCTGTTTTGATTTTCTTCCGTTTTTCAGCAGTCTTTTCATTAATTATCATCTCTGGAGGTATAGTGCCTAAGGCATTTGACTGCTAACCAGGAGGTTGGTGGTTCAAACCCATCAGCCACTCCATGGAAGGAAGACTGGGCAATCTACTTCCGTAAAGATTTACTGCCTCAGAAACTCAAAGGGAGTTGCTGCGATTCAGAATCAACTTGATGGCAGTCAGTTTTTTTTTTTCTCCCTTCCAGCTGGATTCCATTGATCATATACTTGGGAGAGAAAAATAAAAGTTTCCTTAGGACCATGGTTCCCAAACTTTGCTGCACATTGAAATTCTCTAGGAGTCTTTAAAAAGAATCCTGGCTTCCACTGCAGGTCTCTGATTTCGTTGGTTTGGAATGCAGCCTCGGCTTCAGGAGTGTCACATCTCCCCAGGTGATTCTGATATGCGGCAAAGTTTGGAAACCAGTGGATTAGGAGAAACTGTGCCACACTTTCTAAAAGCAGGAGATACAGTGATAAATTAATGTTGCAAGTGTTGCTGGATTCAGTCAGTCCCCAGGTTAGAACAGGATCCCATCCTCAGCTCGTCTTTAAGTCACATTTGTAGGTAAGTAGACAAAGGTGTATATGGTTCTTATTAACCTTGCTTTAGTGCCTTTTGAAAGCTCTGGTGGTGCAGGTGTTAAATGCTTGGCTGCTAACTGAAAGGTCATAGGTTTGAGCCTACCAGCTGCTCCATGGGTGAAAGGTGTGGTAGTCTGCTTCCGGGAGGATTTACAGCCTGGGGAAACCCTATGGGGCAGTTCTACTCTGTCCTACAAAGTTGCTGTAAATCAAAATCGACTTGATGGCAGTGAGAGATTTTTTTAAATGTTTTTTCAGTGATTTAAAAGCTGCATGTGCTGCAAATGAAAGTGATTGTCATGAAGAGTTTGTTGGGAGTAGGGGTTGGTTCAGTTGTTTCAGCCCAGCCAACCCCACTACCGTTGAGTTGATTCCGACTCATGGTAACCCTATAGGACAGAGTAGAAGTGCCTCATAGGGTTTCCAAGGCTATATATTTTTACAGGAGTGGACTGCCTTATCTTTCCTGTAGAGCAGCTGGTAGGTTTGAACTGCCCACTTTCTGGTTAGCAGCCCAATGCTTTAACCACACAACTATCAGAGCTCCTTCAGTTGGTTCAAAGTGAGGGCAGATTTACATGACCTTAAATGGCAAGTGCTCAAGTCAGAAGTTAGTAACCTGAGAACTTACTATACAGGGAGGTATGATGGTGCTTTGTTAACTGTTTCAGCTTGTAGCACAACAGTTGGTCAGCCTGTGTTGAGTCTCTACGTTAAACGGGAGGACATGCTACTTCATGTCCTATGGTAATAACGGACTTGCTTGGAATAGAAAATGACTGTCCAGTTTGATGAGTGTTAGGAACGTATCTAATTAGGTGTTTGGTAAGTTAAAAATCACTTATCTGGAGGAAGTCTAGAGTAATAATAGTGTCCCAATCCCATCCCACTAGCCATCAAGTCAATTTTGACTCATAGGGACCCTGTAGGACAGAGCAGAACTGCCCCATAGGGTTTCTAAGGCTGTAAATCTTTACAGAGACAGACTCTTCATCATTGTGCAGAGTGGCTGGTGGGTTCGAACTGCCGACTTTTCTTTAAATTTGGCAGCCAAATGCTTTAACCACTACATTACCAGAGCTTCTTAATAACAGCATAGGCTTTGGAAGTAAATAGCCCTTACCTCAAGCTTAGTGTCAGCTGTATACTTTCTTGTGTGAGTTTTCCACAAGGGGAAACTGAGGCTAATAATAGTTTCTAGACTTACAAGATTGCTGTGAAGATGCAGAGAGAATGCATCTAATGACTTTTCTTAACCCTAACAATGTGCATCTAATGACTTTCTTAAGCCTAACTATGTGCTCCTTTGGTGCTAGTTGGCTAATGATACTTTATGCAGATAAAGTAATGCTGGGATTGGGAGATTTTTACTGAAGGTGGGAAAAGTATGTGGTAATGGGAAGTGACTTATACTCCTGGGCTCAGTCACAGCGGTGGTGCATAGAGCAGTTTGGATTTGAATAAATAGATTATTAACTCCAGTAATAAAAGCTGAGGAGTTCAATGGAAAACCCAGTTCATTGTTAAAGAAATACAGAAAATGTGAAGTTTCTGTATTGATTAAGTTGCATTTTGAGCAATGAACAAAAATTGCCAAGATTTGATACCTGTTCTGATCTTTCAAAAGAAACAAGAAGGTGTGACGTTTGAGTAAATGGTTATTGAGTGTTGTAAATCTATGACCAGGAAGTAAATCGTTAAAAGCAACTACAGATGCGTTTAAAATACCCAAGAAGGAGAGCATGTGAGAAAAACAACAAGGGGATGGGAAGTGGTTTTTTTTTTTTTAATCATTTAAATGATGTTTGTTGAATTAAACCATGAGGTTCAACTGTGAACCTGCCTTGTTCTAATGAAACCTTCGAGCAATCCTGGGGAGCCAAGGTCGTGGGCTCTTTATTTCCTTTTTTACTAGACAGCCAAACTCAACCAAACTCACTGCCATCGAGTCAGATCCGACTCATAGCGACCCCTGCTTGGGTTTCCGAGGTGATACCGCTATGGAAGTAGACTGCCCCACCTTCCTTCCGAGGGGCGGCTGCCAGCCTTCTGGATAGCAGTCAAATGCGTTAGGCACTAAAGGTGGTCTAAACACTGGTTTCACTGGGACAAGCATTTAGCTCATCATGTTCGAACAACCTTTTTTTTTTTTCCGGAATTACCACCAAGAAGAATTTTCTTTCTTTCTTTCTTCCAAAATTTCAACCGACTCAAGTTGATGAAGATTTGCCACTATGGGCAACATGTGAAAGAATGTTTCAGACATTTATTATTTTATCTAAAAATAAGTCCATTATTATATATACCTTATAGTGTACATAATGGAATGATTTTGAACAAATGAAATCATAATGTCTTAGAATTATTATCGTTGTTGTTGTTAGTGCTGTCGAGTCGGATCCAACTCATAACGACCCCTCCTTGGTTTTCCGAGGCAGTATCACTACAGAAGTAGGATTGCCCAACCTTCCTTCCGAGGAGTGGCTGATGGGTTTGAACCG